ACTAGCTTTGTATGCAAAATTGCAGCCTTGTAGCTATCACGTGAATGTATTCATTTTCGTGGCATGTCACACTTGTCTGCCAAGGGTTTGCCCTGTTCAAAGACTAGCAGAAAACTTTTTTTTGTATTTCATACTAATTGTTTATATTAAAAAATTTCAATGTTAAGTCCAGATTTGAAAAGATTGTAGAATTAATACTTTCAGACTTTCACCTTGTTATGCCAGATTATGACCGTATAATCATAAATGTCAATTTCTGGTTCAAAACTACGGCGCTCAAATGATTGTTTAAAACTCTGCAGATCAAGTTATGAGGAAACTACTGCCTGACTACCTCTCAAATTCAAATATATGGAAAACGGTATAATAAGTATAAAATATGGTGCAAGTATCAACATATTCGTATAAGATAACCATTAATCTATTAGGTAATCATGAAATTATGTTTTACATTTCAATGTGTACTGTTACTTTTTGTCTCAGATAACTGACACTTGCAACCCTTCAATCAATGGAAGACAAAACAGGTTCATTTATTCCACGGACTACAAACAAACAACTAAAATGATTTTTTTAAATTTGTCCTTTACGTCCACATAATAATGCCCATCCTTGTTAGTTAAAGGTCGCGACATAATAGACATCTACCTGTTACAAATAACTACCGAAACATTTTTTTTGTAATTGATGGTCAATAGAAGTGATTGATGTAATGGGTATCCTACACACAATGCAGCACTACTGTATGTAAGGCTGCCTAGTTCCCTACACACTTGAAATCAGGAGTCTGTGGCCCTGCGTAATTAATTTAGGAATCAATTTCAGACATACCTACGCTAAAACACTGTAACGTAACATCTATCAAGTGTGCGAAATCGATAAAAAAAACTTGTCCGAAATTGATTTCCAAATCAATTACGCAGGGCACAGACTCCTGATTTCAAGTGTACCGTGTACGTATTATCTTCCATTAGTTCCATTGATTGCATGATGCTATGTAAACATACTTAGTGATGACGTCATAATACACGGATGACGTACATACGATTGCTATTTTTCGTTTTTGTGTCAGCAAAGATTATATTGTCTAGCACCAACTGATAATGCATTAGAGCGCCCTGTAAAAGTTTCTTAGTAGGTATCTTGGTGCTCCAATACATTTCTGTACCAAGATATGCGTGCAAGTTTGTTGTGATTGAACCCAATCGTTTTATTGGCCAGTTTAAATCTGATTGTGGATGGCGAGTATGTTGCTCACCAACCAAACGCAAAAAACTGGAGGAGTAAAACCCATAACACAAGTTGCAATGTCTTTCGAAATATGAGGTGTTCAGACATTTTAAGTACTTCCTTATTTAAACATGCACACGTTTGCAGGCAGATGTAAACTTTGTAACTCGGTCACGAAGAACAAAGCCTCTGCAGAGGAACCTCTAAAAAGCATTATGCGGGTCACTCTGTAATTGGGCGCAAGCCTAGTTGAGGGCCCAGAACAAGAAAGGGATAATAAATAATTAAAAATAATAGTAAAAGACGCCGTTTTGCTCAGAAGGCAAATGATAAGACTAATCTAAAGACAGAAATTGAAACAACCACCTATAACCATTACATAAAAACAATATAATCTAGTTGGAACCATTCCAAAAATATCCTCGATTTCAATCACTATTAAGGATATGGGTTAATGGTTCCAAATTTTAAGAGGTTACCTTCGTGTATAAAAAATGCCCTTTCGAAATAATTCCAAATTAACCAACCTTTAATACTATTTATTAAAATTACTCTAAAATTTATATACACCAGCCATGCTTGGCCCATAGACATGTATTATACATAAATGGTCCCAATAATTATTAAGATGGGAGTTTACGATATGTAAATTTGCAAAATGCAATTGTTTGGATTTGGTAGTACATAAATAATACATTTGTTTATTCAACGCGAATAAATAAATTAAGATAATAGGCACTAAACTACAGTAGTTTCATAATTATTTATTCCATTACACTACACACAAAAATCAATTTCAAACAAATAAATTTTACGAAATTTAACAAAATACAATAATTTACTCACCTTTTGCATGATTCTGAAAAAATATGCACAACCAGATATTCAGCTAGATAATCATCATGAGTATTACATTTGTTGAGTAGAATTGCCATTCCAGGTGTTATTATCATCATCACTCTCCTGATTGTCCTGTAAGCGGTGTATTATGTTTCCTTGTCGGCGGACAACACTACTTTCTCCTAATTTTCTCCTTTGCATTCTACAATGAAATATATTAATATACAGTTGTTACAAAAGGTACCTACTGGCAGTATAGGTTAGGTAGATTAGTGCCCTTTCCAATTTTCTACCAATTCTTTCAAAAATTTTGCAACTTGCGAGACAATTTGTATGCAAATTGCAGCCTTGTGGCTATCACGTGAATACATTCATTTTCGTGGCATGCCACACTTGTCTGCCAAGGGGTTGCCCTGTTCAAAGACTAGCAGACAACTTTTTTTCGTATTTCATACTCATGAAATTGTTTATATTACAAAATTTCAATGTTAAGTCCAGATTGTGACTGTATAGGAAAAATAAATGTCAATTTCTCGTTTAAAACTACGGCGCAGAAAGGATTGTTTAAAACTCTGCAGAACAAGTTATGAGGAAACTACTGCCTGACTACCTCTCAAATTCAAAAAGATATATAGATAACTGTATAAGTATAAAATATGGTGCAAGAATCAAAATATTCATACCTATAAGATAACCATTAATCTATTTAGGTAATCATTAAATTGTGTATTACATTTCAATGTGTACTGTCACTTTTTGTCCCAGAAAAGTGACATTTGCATCCCTTAAATCACTGGAAGACAAAACAGGTTGATTTATTCCACGGTCTACAAAAAACAACTAAAATGATTTTTTAAATTTTTCCTTTACGTCCAAATAATAATACCCAACTTGTTATAGTAAAAGGTCGCGACATAATAGATATCAACCTGTTACAAATAACTACCAAAACATTTTTTTTTGTAATTGATGGTCAATATAGAAGTTATTGGTGTAATGGGTATCCTACACACAATGCAGCACTAGTGTATGTAAGGCTGCCTAGTTCCCTACACACCTGAAATCGGGAACCTGTGACCCTGCTTCATTGATTTGTGAATCAATTTCAGACATACCTACGCTAAAGCACTGTAACGTCTGTAACATCTATCAAGTGTGCGAAATCGATAAAAAAAACTTGTCCGAAATTGATTCCCAAATCAATTACGCAGGGCCACACACTCCTGATTTCAAGTGTACGCATTCACTTCCATTAGTTCCATTGATTGATTGCTATGTAAACATACTTGCAGATGTGTTCCACACTGACTCCCTGTACTGCGCAAACGCAAGCGCGCTAAAATTTGAATTTGTGTACAGCTGTCAAGTGTAAATAATAAATAAAAATAACTCAGAGTAAGAAACGTTATAATTGTAGATAATTTTTAGCTTACCTGCTTACCTATTATATGTAGTAGGTATATGAAAATGCCATATTATCAAGATGAATTTTGTTGTTATCTACATTTGAAGTGCATGGTCATAGAATATGCCAAAGGCGATATTAGGAAACTGCTTCGGTAAGTACTGTAATAGTTAATTAGAAAGAGTTAATGACATTTACTTACAGCAATAACGTTACAGACAGACCAACATTGATCTATGGTAAAGAGAGAGTCCGGTGCTGAACGAATCACAAAAAACCAGACGACAAGGATCATGACTGATAGCTAAAGTAGAGGTTTGCTTTCAAGTTGGCGCTATAATGTATTTAATTGGAATTCACAGTAGTGACCGAAGGCTTTAATTCGAGAAGAAGAACATATATTCTTTCCGAAAATACAGCGACATTTGGTTTGTAATATGGAAGTCAGCTGGAACTGGTATTATAAACAAAACAAATGGTGGCACGTTAAAGCAAATTCAAATTTTAGCGCGTTTGCGTTTGCGCAGTACAGGGAGTCAGTGTGGAACACATCTGCAAGTATGTAAACATACTTAGTGATGACGTCATAATACACGGATGACGTACATACGATTGCTATTTTTCGTTTTTGTGTCAGCAAAGATTATGTTGTCGAGCACCAACTGATAATGCATTAGAGCGCCCTGAAAAAGTTTCTTAGTAGGTATCTTGGTGCTCCAATACGTTTCTGTGCCAAGATATGCGTGCAAGTTTGTTGTGATTGAACCAAATCGTGTTATTAGCCAGTTTAAATCTGATTGTGGATGGCGAATATGTTGCTCACCAACCAAACGCAAAAAAACTGGAAGAGTAAAACCTCGAGTAAAACCCATAACACAAGTTGCAATGTCTTTCGAAATATGAGGTGTTCAGACATTTTAAGTACTTCGTTATTTTAAACATGCACACGTTTGCAGGCAGATGTAAACTTTGTAACTCGGTCATGGAGAACAGCTAAAAAGCATTATGCGGGCCACTCTGTAATTGGGCGCAAGCCTGTTAAGGGCCCAGAACAAGAGAGGGATAATAAATAATTAAAAATAAAAGATGCCGTTTTGCTCAGAAGGCAAATGATAGACTAATCTAAAGACAGAAATTGAAACTGAACCACCTATAACCATTACATAAAAACAATATAATATAGTTAGAACCATTCCAAAAATATCCTCGATTTCAATCACTATTAAGGATATGGGTTAATGGTTCCAAATTTTAAGAGGTTACCTTCGTGCATAAAAAATGACCTTTGGAAATAATTCCAAATTAACCAACATTTAATACTATTTATTACAATTACTCTCTAAAATTTATTTACACCAGCCATGCTTGGCCCATAGACATGTATTACACATAAATGGTCCCAATAATTATTATGATAGGAGTTTACGATATGTAAATTTGCAAAATATAATTGTTTGGATTTGGTACATAAATAATACCTGTTTATTTAACGCGAATAAATAAATTAAGATAATAGGTACTAAACTACAGTTTCATAATTATTTATTCCATTACACTACACACTAAAATCAATTTTAAACAAATTAATTTTAAGAAATTTAACAAAATACAATAATTTACATCTTTTGCACGATTCTGAAAAAATATGCACAACCAGATAATCATCATGAGGATTACATTTGTTGAGTAGAATTGCCATTCCAGGTGTTATTATCATCATCACTCTCCTGATTGTCCTGTAAGCGGTGTACGTTTCCTTGTCGGCGTACAACACTACTCTCTCCTAATTTTCTCCTTTGCATTCTACAATGAAATATTAATATATACAGTTGTTGCAAAAGGTACTGGCAGTGTAGGGGGTAGGTAGATTAGTGCCCTTTTCAATTTTCTACCAATTCTTTCAAAAATTCGAAGGACAGAAACAGTAAAAATCTCCCCGCGAATATACAGGGTGTCAAAAAAATAAAGTCAATGATTTATTCGGTTTTATTGCCCTACTTCAATTAAAATTAAGGCAGTTAGTGCACAATCCTACCTGGACGTTTCATGTTGGTTAACTGATCCACTTTCGTGCTGCACATTTGAATCTTTGTTCCTTCTTTGGCCACTAGTGCCAGCATCACCGCCGAACAATTTTTGTTTTAAATAACCTAAGAAATTTAAAATTGGCGCGATAAATGACCAAAACATTGCCATCCAAGATCCATTCTGGGTGCTAACCGTTCCGTCTTGCAACGGAAGTATTAAAATCACAGCATTAGGTACCAACTGCAACTCCACTAACGTATCATTGTTATTGGCAGCGGTAAATTCTCGTCGAGGAAATGTGATTGACAATGTAAAACTTTGGTATGGCAAATTAAGATTCTCCTTAATAAAATCTCGGACGCTTCCTAAAGTGCAGTTACTAGAAAATTCGTGAGTATGTGCAGAACCGTCTGGACACCGAAACTGTAGCCTTGCAGTGTTGCTGTTCTGCACGGCTTGCTGTACGGTCGGTTGAGTGCTGGATGTAGGCGAATTTGAAAACTTAGCGGCCCGCTCTGCCTTATCTTGCGCAATTTGGGCAAGCACACGCTGTCTAGCTTGTATCTGTTCCTGCTTCTCTTTATTTCGTTCCTCCATGAGGTCCTTTAATTCCTGATCTTGTTGCCATCTTTTCAGTTTTTGAACATCCTGTCCAAGCTTACGGCGTTCAATTTCCTTCACACGTGATTGCTAAAAATGAGAAATGTACGTTCTTCAATTTAAATGAGGAGACTAAATTATTACACCCTCCTCCTCGGCCTGCTTTTCTAAACGTTTTTGGCTGATAAGCTCTTGTGCTCTCTCAATCTTTTGTTCTGGGGTCAGCTCGTCTGATTGATGGTTAACCACTGGTTCACTGGTGGAACTTGGTAATGAATTTGCAGTGGGAGCCTCTTGGGTGACAATTTTCTCTTGGTCTACCAGATCTTGTGATGAACTTGCTGTTAATAATAAAATATATAGCTACAATGAGAAACACTACCACTCTTACCAGGTGTCGTTAGTACACCGTGCCTTTGTAAAATTTCCTGTAACTGTTGTAAAAATACTGCTTTATGGAGGACATCAGTTACGACCTCTAATGGACTACCACTTTTACCAATAAAGAACAATGAGGGAACGGATGCTTGCTTATCTATACAATATTAAGCAAATACACAGGCTTACTTTGTAAAAACACCACAAAGGATACATATTTGAGTAAACTGCTGATGTGGTACAGAATTTTCCTCTACTTTAATAGCAACAAAGTGATTGCTTTCTAATTGTGTGGATACCTCTTCATTTTCAATTAGACTAGTAAATTCTTTCGATTTTTCGTCTTTACCTGAAAATTAATACAAGAAAAGGAATTTAATTGAATTTTGGATATTTGTCATCTATCTCACCTTCAATGTACACGACAAATACAGTGCCCTTTGTTTTGGAGACCGTAACCGCTTCGGCAATATTTCCTTGGTACCAGCGCATTTTTTCTTTACTTCTTTTTCATTAAAAACTATTAATTAATTGAAGAAAAATTTTTCATGACGATGACTTGACAAACAGATGATTTAACCGAAGCATTGCCACCAACATGCAATTCCTAAATGTCACCAGGTGAAATAAAGCACAGTATACACCTTTGTTTTAAAGGCCCGATTGGACCTGAACGTTACTACGTCTATTGACAGATGTCCTTAATATTACAAGTTTGGAACTATATCTAAACATTTAATTTGACAGGCATTTGAAATCGTACATTCTATGAGGTTAGTCCAAGCTTTTTTGTAGATTATTTAATTACCTATTGCGGAAATGAAATTAAAATTTGTGAATGTTTGTATTTTCGCAATATCTCTGCTTAAAAAACAGATATCTAAATGCAGTTTTTACTGATATACTCATTTTTTAATCTTGTTTGATAATATCATATAAAATTATAAGTACCTATCGTTCCATTTGAAATTTTTAAAAAAACCCTGCAAAACTGAAAGAGGAGGGCTATGGTTGGTAGAAATTAATACCTTTCATTAGAGTACCATGAAGGATAAAACTAGTTCCACCCCCTTCCCCTCCAACCCCATACTTTGATAAGAGGGCAGAAAGAAGGGCAGTAGTTGGTAGAAAACGGTTCCTTACGTTAAGACATTAATTAGAAAACACTGAGAGATAAAAATAATTGTTAACCCCTCCCCCTCTTCAGGCCCGGTCGCTCCCTCATTTCGAAAAAGAGTCGCACGGGAAAATTATACTTTGTACAAACCAATTTATTTCGATGAGACCTTTCATTAGAATTCCATGAAGGGTAGACCATGCCCCCCCCCCCCTTCTAAAGTTTAACTTGGCACTAAAGCCTGCGTATGCAAAATCTGAGACCAATTGGTTGTCGTATGTAAAAGTTATGCACGTTTTCTTTCAAAAACAGCATCTCAGGAAATAATTCGTGGGGGGGGGGGGCCCTTTTAGACAGCGAAATTTGATGGCCATCTGGCACACCTTCAAGGTATAGGCTACCTACTGCAAAAAATTCCAGGACTCTAGGACCATTCCCCTAGAAGTAGTTCAAAACGGTAGAAGTGGGTCCGGACGGACGGACAAAACGCAAACAATAGCACATTTTTCTTAATTCTTAAAAATTGCGCATGCGCAACTCAACTTTTGTATTTGCGCTATTCCAATGTTTAAGAATTAAAAAAAAAATGTGCTATTGTTTTCGTTTTGTCCGTCCGTCCGCACCCACTTCTGCCGTTTCGAAGTACTTCTAGGGGAATGATCATAGAGTCTTGGAATTTTTTGCAGTAGGTAGCCTATACCTTGAAAGTGTGCCAGAGAGCCATCAAATTTCGCTGTCTAAAAGGGGGGCTCCCCCACGAATTATTTCCTGAGATAAGAAGTGAAACGTGCATAACTTTTACATACGACAACCAATTGGTCTCAGATTTTGCCATGGATTTTGCATACGCATGCCTTTAGCGGTGCCAAGTTAAACTTTAGAAAACGGGGTGGGGGGGGAGAGTTAGATAAACACATGTTCTACCCTTCATGGTATTCTAAATGGAGGGTCTCATCGAAATAAATTGGTTTGTATTAAACTTTTTCCGTGCGACTCTTTTTCGAGATGAGTTGAGTGACGGGGCCTAAGGAGGGGGGGGGGTGGAAAAATTAATTTATCTTCATGATCTAATTAAAAGGTCAAACGATTAAAGAAAAACTGTACTGCCCTTCTTTCTGTCCTCTTATCAAAGTACGGGTGGAGGGGGGGGGGAGTCGAACTACTTTTATCCTTCATGGTACTCTAATGAAAGGTCTCAACGAAAGGAATTAGTTTCTACCAATCATAGCCTTCCTCCTCGACCTCTTATCGTGCATTTTGTATGTAGGTAGGTACCTAACCCAAATAAAAGTAAAACTAATGCTGAATTTGAAAAAACTGTATTGCGCATGCGCATTCTCAAATTTTTTATTTGCTAAGATATTTAAATTTTGTATGTAGACACCTGAGTAAAAGTAAAACCAATACCGATTCAAAAAAATTGTTTTACAAGCTATGCTGATCTGGTGGGACAGAATCAACCCCTTAAGCCTTAAGGTGTGTTGTAAAAATGATGTAGGTGTGAAGATCTCGAGGATCGTTGTGTATTCAGTTGTATCGGATTTTCTATTAACTCATTTGGAGTATAGAATCACAACTCGCTAAGAGATCTAAATTTGTAGACGCATTAATTATGCATTTATTTAATATCGTTCTCTTTTCGCGCCCAGCAGACATAGGAACGAAGGGTTTTAAGGGGCAACTTGTTGAATGGCGTTTTTTGTCCCTTAGTTTTGCAAACGGAATAAATTATAATAAACTAAAAATTTATTGCATCGGTCGCCGACTAAGCGAAGAGGTAGATAGGTATACCCTAAATTTGATTATATACGTTTTATATTTATGGCATTTAGGTACGCTTACCAAGAGACGGGGAAAATAAAGGGGCACTGTATGCCGTAATAAAAATTTATAGGGCGCCGTTCTATTGCTTTTTGAGAAGGTTTCCGTGTGTTTTTCAACTACTAGAATATTCCCATGACCCGTAATCTCAAATTAGAGATCCTTTGCAATTTCTCGCCCAAAATCGTGATTTATATTGCTCTCGTACGTCTAATTATAACAAATTTTGCTATTACGTTATTTCCAAGATTAATTGTGCCCCTAACTTCTGAGAAGGATCGTGTAATTGTTCTCAGTAGTCAACTCCAAGGGAAATTTAATTTTGGCTCCCAAAAACCATGCTTTAGAGTAGGTACGAGATGAATGTGATAGTAATGAAGTAAATGGACGATAATTACGAAAATAAATGCGCAACAACTAACCGAAATGTAAAAATTAAAGTAAATTGTAATTGCGTTATAAGCTTTTTTACAAATATCAATAAAATTGCACTTGCCCAGGGGTAGAGACGCGCCGACGCATGCCAAGCAGCCGTCGTGACGAAGGGCGTCTAAAGCTCATACGACAACGTACTGCTTGGCCTAATGTTTCATTTTCTGTATTTATCAACGAATTTTGAAGATTTCGTGTAAATAGAATTTATTATTGTTAGTTAATTAGTTCACATGCTATTGGTAAGTAACATATATTTAGTTCAGTACTTTGCGCCCTGTTGCTTGGGCACGATAATCAATTACGAATAGCTGTTATCATTATAATTGTCATCCCGAATTATTTGTATGCGACTGTGCACGATTGACTCCAATAGGGGATGAAATGGCCAACCTACACTATTAAAATCAAGTATTTGTTCGTCTCTTCATTGATCTTTTTTGACCAATCAATCGAATGGTAATTGGTAATTTATAAGCGGTAGGTAACGTTCGTAGAGAGCGATCTGAAAAAGTCAAGATGCCTTATTGACATGGGAACCCCCGAATGCGAACGCGGATGGTGGCATAATGGTATCTTCTCAGAAACTAGATCAATAGACAAGCATTTTGCGAGTCTTGTCACCTTAAAAAGTCAATCCAATAAATAAATGGCGATTC